TTCTACTTTGTCAAATATGCTATTGGGGCCCTTGAATGAATTTTATATTTGTGTTATTGTTTTCTACTGTAGAATTCCCATTTGATAATATCTGTTAATGTCTGTCTATATTGATATTCTTTCTAACATTATTCTTATATTTTTATTTATTTAGAGATGGTTCCTTTTGGTCTCTGTACACACTTTAAAAAATTAACACAATGTTTTTGTTTAGAAAATGTAATTTACTAGTCTCTCAGAGACAATTTTTTAAAAATTAATTTTATTGGTATATTTTAAGCATACAGTATAATGCCATTCATAATTGGAGATTTGTACCTTTACATAATATATCTTGATTCTTATTTTTTCCCCATTCCTCCATACAGAACCCAGCGGGGTTCTGGCTAGGGCCTGTGTACACTTGGGATTGAATCTAGGTGTGCCTCTGTATAGGGCCTGGCCTCTTAGGTAGCTGTTGTCTGGGAAGGCCTTTGACTGGGGACTGTGCACCCCAGTTGCTGGTGTCTGGGGGGGGCTTCTGGCTGGGGTCTGCGCGCACTTATACATGGTGTCAGGGTGGGGCTCTGGGACTTTGGCTGGGGCCTGTGGGCTCAAGCAGGTGGGGTCAGAGCAGTGCCCTGGCTGTACCTGTCACAAGCAGCTCTGCTCTGGTCCACACCGGGTTCTCCCTGGGATCTGCCCACCTAAGAGATAATTTTAATTGCTTGTGCATCTCTCCCCTGATAATTAGCCATTAATTCTTTTTGTTTTATCTCTTAATTTTTGGTTTACATTTTCAGCAGTTTAATGTGACAGTTTGGGACATGAGATTCTTTTCTTCATGAAGTTTGGTGTTGGAGTTACTTTGTTCTTGTTCTTTGGTAACTTTTCTGAAGTTTTTGTGTAAAGTCTGTATTCTTTGGTGTATATGACCATTGAAGTCTACTTGGTTTTCATAATGTACACGGACAGAAATTTCCTTGGCTGTCTAGAACTAATAAATTTCTTTGTCTTTTCTGAGAGATTCCGCATTCAGGTTGGATATTCCTTCAGCACCCAATGAGGTAATGTGGAATTCTACCTCAATCTTCACTTTCTGCTTGCGTTGATTATGAAGTTCAGCCAAAGGTCCAGATCTTACAGCTTTCTCAGGTCTTTCTATTCTATAGTCCAGAAATATGGATATGCTTTTCAAGGTTCCTCTGAATTTCTCCTTTTTTAGCTTGTTTACATTCTATTTATCCCCCCCCACACACAATTTGTCCCCCAGCTGGAGCAAGTTCAATTTTAAAGAATATTTTGAATAAATGAACTCTGAATCAGATAAAATAAAGACAGCTTTTGAACTGGCATCTTAAAAAAAAAAGTTTCCACTCCATTCCTTCTCTTAATATCTACCAAAGTGCTAGTTTTCATCATGGTTATAGTCTGTTGGCTTTCAAGGCTACCATGGAGCTTGAAAGAAAAGTAAGTTTAGAGCAAGTTAAAACACTAAAAGATCACTATTATTACCAAGATTTAATCATGTTTTTTCTTCAACAAATACTACCTCTGTTGGTATAAGATTTTGGTTAATTTTCAGAGGTTTGAGAATTTTAATGATGCCAATTTCTACAATTTTTCATTACTTTCAAGGAGGACAGACTTTTCACAAGTCCTTACTCTCCCACTGTTTTGTGGACATTACTTCTAAAAACTGTATTTAGGATTGAAAGACAAAATACTTCACACATGAAATTAGCTACAGAAAACAGAAGACAAGGTATTATTGGAAGTATAAACTTCACTGAAGTACTTTGCTTCTTTATTTCTTTTAAAATAATTCCTTGGACTATGCCAACTTTCCATAAACTGATGTTAGTATATTTCTGAGCATTTAATTTGACAACACATGACTTGTAAACCACTCTGAGCTTTTTGGGAATTAACCATCTTATGTTAAGTAAAAAATATTTGACATGATAAAAGCACATAATAAAATAAATATCTGGTGAAAGATAAGTGAATAAATATCCTTAGATCTATATAAAATTCTATTTTTAAGGTATTATTTTCAGAAACAACAAATGAATGAAAAAATAATTGAGTAAATATATTGATATTGATTTTCACATAGCACATTTTAAATAAAAATATGCGACATAGTCCTTTCTTGTGGCTGCAAAACATATATTTGTGGTACAGTATATGAAAATCAGTATTATTTCCTTTTTTCTTTGGAAGGGGTGTAAAAAGGGAAGCACAAGTTCTCATGGTAAAAATTATTTTCATTTATTTTTACCACTTTTTTGTTGTGCTTTATCATTCATTTTGATATAAGAAAATAGGTTCAAAAATTCTAATAAACATATAATATAAAACACAAGTGTTTACTTTTTATTCATGATGTGTTTGATACTAATAAATAATTAACAATAACAGCCTACACTCATTCAAATTAGTAAAACTAGTTTCAGTTATTTTGAAACAGGGTAACTAAAATTATCCAACAGGTCCATTTACCAATGTTTCAATTGTGTTATGGCCATATGACTTTTCAATTGTTGTAGATTTCTGGATATAAACATTAAATAACATCATTTGAAAATTAAGCAAATATTGTAATACAAAACAAAAATGTTTCTGCTTCTCAATTTATAGCATAAAATCATGATAATATGCACTATTATTGCTCTTAGGTCAACTAGGTACCTGAGTTGATATATTTGGTTAGAAGCTTTTAAAGTTTCAATTGAGGTAGATACAATTATTTATTTGATAATTATATTGAGCATTTAAAAATAATGTGTTTTGTTGCATTATTGAATACTGTCATTGCAAAAGTCTACTGCTGATAACTAAATAATATTCAATAACCTGTCACTCATCCAGACCATAGCCTCTTATTTCTGCTAGTATGTCATACAAAAGGCTGCCTGGTATAAAACGTACATAAAGAGTAATATTTTAATGGTGCAGACAATTGCCCATCCCAGAAATGTGGAACCTGGTACTCTGGAAGTTTCAGTATTGAGCTATACCAAAGTGGGCTCAGACACTTGAAGAATTTTTATATCTTATATATGCACAGGCAAGAAATCTGATAGAAATTTTATCACTAGGCTTTTATCTTAGGCAAAGTGTGCATCAATGAGAGGAAAATGCATGTACCTTTGGTCTATAATGTAAGGTGAAGTAAATGAGACACACACAAGCTTAAATATTTCATGATTTCTCTTTTATGAGAAACTCAAATTATAAACATGAGCAAATAAAAGATAGATAATAGGAAGTAAGAAGACAGATGTTTCTCAAGTGATAAGGAGATCAAAAGATGGAAAGAGAGAGAAGGGAGGTAAGGAAAGGAGGATAAAAAAATAAAGATATGTTATTTATATGTACCAACTCCACACAAGGAGTATAAACATGTAAAGCAAACATGTACTAATACAAATAAATAAATAAGTTATTTATAATGTCTCTTATGTTAATACAAAATCCTCCATTGTCAGTTTGCATAATAAAAATGTACGTAACCACTTTCTAGAGTTACCGCATCCTGTTTAGAGTGCATACTAATTACTGATATTTTAATATTAATCTAATATAAAAATATCAGTTAACTTGGACATAAGTGAATTCACCGCACTGTACTAAGGTACATAAATTTCCATAAAGGTAATATGACAGCATATATATTGAAGACATTTGTTATTGAACACATCTGGTGTTTTTCTTTGTAAATCTTACAACAATCTCTCAGTTTTCTTTTTATTTAGTATTCCATGTCATAAAACTGACGACATTTCTCCTCACAGGTGTACTTCTGACCCAGGCTTAATTTTTTCTAGCCTATGCTTCTTTATACTACAGATTCAGGGGAGGACAAAATGCTCATGATTAAACCAGGCCAATCAAAACAAGAAATACAAGCCAGAACTTTCCTGAAACTCCTATGAAAAAGAAATTTGTTCTATGTGTTCATTTATTTGCAGTGAAACTGGAGTTGTGAAGGTATATGAGTGGAGAGCTTTTCTAAAAGTGAAATTAGCACAGAATTTAGGAAGGAAATTCCTCCTGGCATCAGTTGAATGCTTACCCATCTGAGCCTGAAACTTTAGAAGTTTTAGTTACAATGTGACAATATGTTCCTTGTTTTTATCTGTGATATGTAGCTTTATGTGTCCATGTAAATCCATTTTATATAAAATAAAAAACATAATGGGTAAATGCAAATCAGTAAGTCATGGGTGACAAAACACAGTTTGTCTGAAATTAACAATGGCCCAATGGGAAGTAAGAGATGCTAGCCAGTGTTAGGCAATGGATAAGCCAAAACTTTTCCAACTAACAGTCAGAGAATATAGAGTTAACTCAATTAAAATGGTGCTAAGAGATTATAGCAAGAGCTTGACAATGGGACTAAAAACATTATAAGGAGTTTTACCTTTTTCCTATACTTGAACGTAGGTTTCAGAAGTCATTTAATTTCACCTGAATCAGTTACCTCATGAGTGAATATGATGGTGGAATAAGTCATCTCTGAAAGTGTTTCTGTTCAGTACTCAAGATGAGTAATTGTTGAAGAGCATATCAAAGGAGCCAAAGTCAGTCTTGGAAGATGATAATTAAGGAGCTTGGTGTAAAAATCCAAAAACTGTTAAAATTCTAGATTATAGCATAAGTTGCCTGAATATGAAGTGTATAGGTTATAGAATTTATGATAAAATCTCTATCAAAGATAAGAGAGGGGAAAACTGGGAGCCAATCCTAATCTTACTTATAACGAGCTGTGTACTGAACTTTTCAGGACCAAGTTCCCTGATCAATGATAAGTGAAGAAGAAAAACAAAATCTGTAGCTCTCTGAATAGTACCATTTTGGAAGTTTTACAGACTTTTACTTTCTGTGAGCACAATCCTTGCCAGCTACCTACCATATTGAAATAGAACAATTTGGGGAGCAATAGATGATACGATTTCTAAATCAGTGGAAGCAAGCTGATAAGTGCTTTCATTGTACCTTAATTTGTTTTCCAGAGTTTGGAAACTTCTTTTTGGAATGCCTCATTAAATCTAAATTTCCCTTGCCCTTCATAAAATATCACCCCGGCTTCTTCTCTATGGTGGCTCTGACCAGCATCTCATTGATCATCACCTCTATTCTCTCATTACCACAGGTGCACCTTTTAATGTATATTTCCTTTTGTGTCTCAAGATTTTTAATGACTCTGATTAGCTCTAAAATCTGTTTTTCAAAACCCTTTGTAAGGCAATTCTTTAGTTTTTACCAATGGATATTTCCAATTTAGTTAAAATATATGTCTAATTTTTCAATTCCATATAATTTTTCTGAAATGTGTGGAAGTATTTTCAGCTTTTTCAAGGATATTTTTATTGTTATGTAAAACAAAGGAAAGGAAGATGCATAAAATATATTTTATATACTTTTTAGAAAATGTGAACTTCAAATTTGGGTTAAAGCATAAATAATATTTCCAAATCCCAAAGCAGAATAATTTTGTCATACATTCTAAAATTAAGCTTACAATTAAATAAAGCAGTTAGATTAAATAAATCTAAGCAAACTTCCATAATACTTTGTTAAAGATTAAAACTATATAAGAAGGTAATAGATTGTAAAATTGTCAATTTGGATGAAAATTAGATATAGTATTACACTTTAGTACAGACTTGTAGTCCCAACAGTCTGAAAGCTGAGGCAAGAAGATAGCAAGTTTAAATCCAACTTGGTAAACTCAGAGACTTAGCTAGAAACTATCTCAAAATAAAAAACAAGAAAGGGACTGAGGGTGTAGTACAGTGCAAAGGCCCTGAGGTCAATCCTCTGGAACTAAAAAAAGAATGTCTATTATATTGATTGTTTAACAATAACAAAACTTGCAAAAATATATAATTAGGTACTAGTTAGAAAATATGCAGTTGTATAATAACCATCTGTGGCCATTTAACATGATGTGGTCTTACAATCTTGCTATGGGAGGAAGATCTACAATATACAGTTAAGTATGAGGTAAACTGCTGTTTTAGTGGTTTTACAGATTCAGTATTGCCTTATTTTATCTTTACAATACTGTTAGTGTTATAGCTATATCTAGATGTCCTCCTGAAGTGTCATATGCTCATAGGTGGGGATTTTTCAAAGTGACTGGATCATGTGTGTATATTGTATTAATCCACTGATGAGTTTATAGTTGGGGGTGATGTTGGGAGGTGAAGCCTAGTGGGAAGAGGTGGGTCACTGTAGGTGGGGCCTGGAAGGTGTACATATTTATCTGTCCTCCTCTGTTGATGGCACCCTACTTCCCACTGTTATGCCATGACAAAGCCCCTTCTGCCATGCCCTTCTGCCATGATGTCTTGGCTTAGAACCAGCCAATGATGGACTGAAACATCTATAAACTGTGAACTAAAATGAATCTTTCCTTCTTTAACTTGCAGATGTCAGGTATTTTGTTCTGGCAATAAAAGAGGAAGTAAGACAATCAAGTAAATTGGAGCTCTGAGAAAAATAAAGATTTTAAAATAATTTGTTCAAGGATGCAGGTAATAAAAGCTAGAGATCTTGCTGCTATATTCTTTCTTTCTTCCTTTCTTTTTCTCTTCTTCCCATCTATCATCTATGTTTATATTTTCTATTTTAACTGGGAGTATACTATTGTTGTTTAAATCAGCCATGGACAAAATCATTCAGAGAAATTCATGATGAGAGAGAAAGAGAAAGGAGGAGGGGAATGAGAGTGAAAGAGGGAGAGATTAATTTGGAATTAACTCTCTAAAGGAAATATGTTAAATTCTGTTGGTGGTCAGGGTATATGGATTAAGATTTTTGACCTCCAGAAGAAAAGGGTGTCTGTTCACATTTTAACTCTGTGGGAATTTCAAATACTTCAGAGAGCATATTTCAGGTTTCCGACTGAGGCTAATGAGTATTCTCTATATCTCAGGTATAACTACATTTCATTTTCTGTAACCTTCCTATGGAACTTAGCTTGATTAATGATCATAGTGTTATTTAAAAAGGAAGTTAAAAATCAGCTTCAGTAAATTAGCTTGTCAGGTAGGTTTTTTCCCCTTCTTTTTATTTAATCTAACTGACCTGATATGTTAATATGAAAATGGGCCAGTTAACAAATACACAGGAAGAGAATCACTATAGGAAGATCACAATTTCCATGAGAAAAAAAATGATAATTTTCAAAATAATAAGGTAAAGTAATTTATAAGATTAATCAAAAAACATTTAATTTACTTCCTTAACACAAAAATTATGAAAATCAAAGTAGTGTAAAGCAATGTCTTGTTTTAGAGGGTTTTCATGCAGTCATATGATAATCTAAAAAATTTTAAATCCATCAACTCTGAGACAAAATAATTTCAGATTGTTTCATATGTACCAACTGCAAAGGAAATCAGGTCTCTGAGAACTTAAAATTTGTTCAACATCACATAGGTGGGACTAGAAACCAGATTGTGTAAGTACCTAGTGCTTTTTATAGCACACTTCATTGCTTCTCAAAGGAAATTAGAATGAATAAAAGTTGTAACAAAGGGGTACCACTAAACTTAGCAGAAACTAATTAAAGTCCAAAATATTATTATTATAAAATTTGAATAGATAATAGAAAAAGGAGATAGATCTTTTGCAAATATGAAGAGAGTGAAGCAACTGAGGTAGGATAAGGAAGTAAGGATTTGTATATAAAAAGATTTAAGGTGCATTATGTACATGTACCAGCTCTCCATGATGAATGTAATAATTATGTACTGCAAACATGTACTAATAAAAATTGAAATTATAAAATGTGATAACAACTTGTTTTGTGTGGGAAGTTGCAGCTAAATTTGCAGTTATTTAAATTGCTTTTTATTTCTGAAAATGTGTTGTTCTGACTGCTATTTCTTGCTCTATGCATTGTCACTTTTAATACATTTAGTGATTTTGAAATATTTGATGCTGGATCATTCTGCTGCAAATATGACCTGTCTTTCCAACAAGTGGACTGATTGAATCTGTCATACAGGTGGGATTTATAGTAAATTCACCATCACACAAGTAAAACCATTAGAAATTGCAATGGTTTAAAAGACTGAATAGAAGATTAATTTGGAATTATCCCCTGATTTTACCAGCAGACTGGTTTATATTTTCCCTCCAAATGACCACGGAGAATCTTAAAATTACATCAGTTTTAATGTACATATGTTGCTGTGTTGATTTCTATTTCAGATCTATAACATGGTCCTTGCTTATAAAAATTTCAATATTGAAATAATTTATGGGAAGAATGAATAACTTTTTATACTGCATAGTGTTTTGCATTGAAAACAAAAACTATATCTTAAGCATTTCTTTTCAATTTTAATTGTTATGCATATATACACATATATATTAATATGAATAAGCTACTTTTCAATCTAATTATTAGAATTTATCAAATCATGTGCTTCATTTAGTTTAACTTTCAGACAAACATGACTGGAATGGGAAAAATACATTGTTATTAAGCAGAACCTATGTCCTGGAGTAAATTTTCAGTTATTCATAATTTGGAAATTAATTTAAGTTTTGCTGTTGTATTGTACATATAATTCTCATTATTTGAAGTAAAGTATTTTGAATCATTCTCACTTCTAAATGAAAAAAAAACACGTTTAACTTTTCCATTTTAACACATATGAAAATATTTTCTCAGAGACATATTATTTTGTACAGACAAAATATATTTTGTTTTATTATATATTTTGTTTTATTTATTCGAATTGAATGCCTATCTTTTCTAGATTTTTCAGATTTAGAGTACTCAAGCTTCACAGTTTATTTTACTTTGCTAACATTAACAGTTCAATGTGATACTATCCTTATATGAGTACTAAAACTATAATTAAAAAAACATTTTAAGGGTCTTGTAAAACAGAACACATAAAACAAGAACATTTATTTTAGTTGAAGACATGTGCTAATTTTTTTTATTGAGAAATGCATTAAACATTGATACATCCAACCTCTGATTGAACTTCCAGACTTGTCACATGTAGGGACTATGGAAGATTTATTGCACAATATAAAATTAGGCATATACAGTAAACTTCATAGTAAATGACCTTTGCAGACAAGAGATTGCCACAGAGAATATTTGCACAGTAAAAAGGGATCTGAAAAACATATTTAAAAACATTCAAAAATGAGTGATAGGAACTGAAAAACATGAAAGACTAAAATTCACCAGTAAAATAAATGTATAGGAAATTCACTTTCTAAGAGGAAAAGCTATTTTTAATATTTCTAATTCATTTATTATATAATAATCTATATTAAAGAGCATGTATTTAATTTGATAAACAAAGAATTCTATTTAAGCATACTAATTTTACAAAGTACTTGTGGAATATAAGTACAAAAATATCCATTTGATCTTTGAAAAAAGTACAAATTAATGGAGCAATAAAGACTCATAAATAGAGCTATCACGTGTGAAACGTAGACTACCCTGTGATTTGACAGGAGGTTAATTTCATTGTGAATTGAATTTAGTGCATGTTTCATTCTATTATCTGTTCACTTCTCAGTTTTATCATTTCCTTTTCCCTAATTCTTTTTCTCTCTGTCTTCATCTCCATCTGTCTCTCTCATTCTCTCAGATATAAATTCATTGTCCAATAGTAATGAGCTTCTTTTGGGGAAAATTATAAATGTGCCTTCTGCAGCAAAGCATACAAGCATGATAGCCTAAAGATTTTTTATTAAAATTTGTAGAAATGGTCAAAATATCTTGTCTTATTATTGCTTATTCAAAGTGTTTTAAAAGTTATACCAGTCTCAAATCTCATAACTATAAGAAAAGTCTGCTAATACTGAGTCTGTCTAGAGCAGAATCTATTTTTCTTTATGTTTGAATAAAATGCATACTTTCACAATTCAATTGCTATATTGTAAAAACAGCATCTATTCCTTTGATACCAATTTAGATTTTAATTCCTAAATAAATAGTAACTTTTGTAATACTTCTAGTGAGACTAGCTTAGTTTACTAATATTACACATTCTTGGGAAGCATGGTAAAAGGATATTTCAGAATTCTGAGAATCAGATGCAATCATTTACTTTTGGTTCTTAATACCAAACATCAAATGTGAATTAGCCACAGAGGAGCAGAGGCTCCCAGCACCAAGCACCTGAGCCTTTCATGGTGCTGTACCACTGACCCAGTGAAGAGGAGCAAAGCCCCACCCAGTACCCAGCAGGTGAGCCTTTTGACCAACTGTACCACTGACTCCAGTGAAGAGGAGCAGAGACACACCCATGGCCAAGGAGGTGACCTGCACAGGTGCCAGCAGCACAACCCCCACAAACATTGAAATGAGAAGACACATAAACAAATCTCAAAAATCAGACTTCCACATCTCCAAAAGCAACCCCAAAGGGAAACCATATGGAACACTGTGATACTCAACCACCTGGACTCCCTGAACTGGCAACAAAATAGGATCTGGAAAAAATGAAATCAGAAATAATTTCTCAGATAACAGCAGATATTGTGCCCATAGAGCAAGACATGATTAATAAATTTAGAGAGGACACAGATAAAAAAATAGAGGATCTGAGGAACATGATGGAATCCCAACATAGGAAACAAATGGAATCCATAAAACGTATGCAAACAGATTTCCAGGAGGTTAAAAACTCCATTGAATGTCTATGCAGCAAAATGAGCAAGTGTGAGATTAGAATTTCAGATATAGAAGATAAGATTGCAATTAGTGACCAGGAAAAGAAAAATTTCTTAAAAATAGTAAGGGACCATGAGAAATCAATCCAGTAGCTGCAAGATGATGCAAAGAAGAACAACATCAGAATGATTGGAGTCAATGAAGAAACAGGAGAGAGTGCAGATGACATAAAAAAAATGCTCACAGAAGTGATGGTAGAAAACTTCCCAAGCAGGGGGAAAGAACTTGACATAAAGATAAGTGAGGCAAATAGGACTCCAAAGAGCCTTGATAAAAAAAAAGCTACACATAGGCATATAAGTGTTAACATTCCAGAAACTCAACAGAAGAACAAAATTCTACAAGCAGTTAGAGAAAAGAAACAAATCACATACAAAAGAAAGCCCATCAGAGTCACAGCAGACTTCTCAATGCAAACCCTGAAGGCAAGAAGAGCTTGGAGTGACAAATTTCAAGACATAAAGGAAAACAGCCTCCAACCCAGACTGATGTACCCTGCAAAACTATCTTTCAAAATTGATGGAGAAATGAGATACTTTCATGACAAACAGCACCTTAGGAACTTCATGAATATCAAACCAGCAGTCCCCCAAATTTTAGACAATGTCCTAGGAAAAGGCAATAAGGGTCACAACCACAGGAAGCCCAGCAGAATGAATCAATCAGGCATGACAAGAAATTAAATGCAAAGGGGGCAAATCCAATGAAAAAAAAAAGTCATGACAATGATAAGTCAATATG